GTACGATATCTAGTCGCTAGCTATCATACTCGATATAGCTAGCTAACTCAATAAAAGTGGTACGGATAGCTAGCTATCACAAGCCGATATTGCCCGATAACATATTTTTATAGCTAGATAATCTCTAAGGCATTTTTTTGCTTGGGAACACACGCAGAGCGGCTTTCTCAGCCTAAGTCATTTGTTTTTCTGCTATATAGGAATACGGTAAAAACTGTTTCCACAGTTTCTCCCTAGAAACAATGTGAATTATGTTTATGGAGAAAACGAACTCTATGGGTGTTATACTACAAGTGGACAATATTTTTCTGTAGCAGCCAAGTTCCACGCTATGAACCTCTCGTTTTTTTATTGCTGTTCAAAGCATGTAAGTTAAGTGACACTAATCAAAGAGAAGCGAGACGTTCGGCTCTCTTGTACTCCTCGTAATCCTATTCTAAGCAACGAAAAATGAGAACACTATTCGATTCACTCGGTTCCTTGTATTTTGGTCACTAGTTAAAATAAATTAAACTTATGAGTAATCAATATATTTTTGCTCGTCACCTGTAATGAAAAAACAGAAAGTTTTTTCATTACGCGGTCATCAACTCCTATCATTAAATTGTATCGACTGCTAGAATGTGACAGCGAAAACAAGCAATGAGGGGATGCATTTTTTTATCTTGCATAACAATCTATTTTTCTTTACCGAATATATTTGAATGATGTGACAGACACTATCAAAACATATATTGACATTACCTCTGCACAAAACTTCAACCAAAAATAATAGCGATGGACCGTTCTCCTGAACCTTATGAGCTAGGAGCCTCTTCGTCAGAAGACTCAGACGAAGAGACACAGAGTGATAATTCAGATTCTTCAACAAGTTCGGTTGATGAAAACCCAACATTGACTACTTTCCAGTTAATGCCATTTCCTCTTGATCCACATCCATGGGAAAACGTTACTTTTCCTGGTTCGATTTTACATCACTCTCTTCCAGAAGCTTTCACCGACGAGGACTCTTCTCATAAAGGTTCTCATAAGTATTCTGATCGCCGACGCTCTGCTCCAGCAGCCTTTCATTATAAAGTCATTGACCTTTCACCCCGTGCGCCAGTTCTTCTTCGTCCACGAAATTTTTGGAGTCATTTGAGAAAGAAACAGCTAAAACCCGGACAGAGCCTGACAAATAAAAGTATGTCCTAATTGGAAAGTCTTTCAATGGTTATGGAAGTCGTCCGCTGACCCCTGGTCCTGCACAACCAACAACGAACAACGACACAAGTGGCAGAAGTACAGTGACATCGAAAACGAAATTATTGAAGATGCATTCAATGAAAAACACTTCGAAGTCGAACTTGATGGCGGATACGTCGTCGATCTCGGTAGATATTTCAGTATTGCTAGAATGAAACTATATTTTTAAGCTTTAAATATTTCTTCTACACTGTACTTCGTAATAACTGTACAGAGATGAAGCAACAAATGCAGTTTAACAAGCACGATAGAAATAAGCAACGTCCAATTAGAAGAATACAGCAGAACGGTGGTAACACTAACGTTAGTTTGAGAGAGGAAAGATTTTCAGCACCAGTCACATTGGCTAATAGCAAAGAGGAGTCGACGACGGCTACCACGACAGAAACTTCTCTCTCAAAGGAAGAAAAGGAGGCACTTCGATGTGCAAGAACAGAGGGTTATCTCGTTGAGGCTTATGACAACCTTATAGTTTCCAAATCTGATAAATTTTTGTCCGAGATTGTCGAAGATGCAGCTGCTGGGATTATGAGGGTTATTCAGATAAGAAGTCATGTGCTGAAAAACTGCCTTACTTGCAAAGGCAACAGATAAAGATACCACTGCGCAAACTTTTGAAGATCTCTTTTTATGCATTATGGCTTTAGTTGATATCAGCGTGAAAGAAGGTGCGAAAGCTGGTAGAGAAAAAGAAGCAGAATGGTTGGCAAAGCAGTTACTCGAAGTAAAACATTTTGGAAAAAAGGTAAAACCAGATTATGGGAATACCGCTATTCCTCGGACGATTGGCGACACATGTATTTACCTGTATAGAGCGTAAAACTGGCGTTTTTCTCCGTCGCTAAGACGACGAAAAGGGGTTTTACACCTTCGTGGCTTTTTAGACTTTGCCTAAATTTTTTTTAAACCTCAACACCATTTCAAAAGTGATTTCTCCCGCTGCTCCCACCCCTCGAAATCATTCTCGTTGCAAACTCGACCTGTTTTGAGAAAGCTGGGCATCTAAGCCGTTAAACATGCTTTCGTGGTTGTCATGTTTCAGGAAAAGATGTTTTTTCAAATTCTTTTGTTTCTTTAGCTTCCTCTCCTGTTAGTCTCACTCCGTGTATATTTAGAATTTTAAACACCCGTTTTTTCTCTTCTACCAGAAAGACGATAAGATTCGCTGTAAACCTTGCGTGACCTACTAGGCTCCGCATTAAATTTTTGTAGCTGTTAGTCATTGCAAAAGTGAGTCCTACTTCTGCTCTCACTGTGAAAATTGTTCTCCTTGCAAACTCACGCTCTATCTAGTACTGTCGGAATCAATGACGTTAAAAGTGTTTTCGAGTCCACATATTTTCAGGAAAAGATGTTTTTAGAAATCCTTTTGTTTCTTTAGCTTCATCTGCTGTTAGTTTCACTCCGCATATATTTACAATTTCAAACTACCGTTTTTCCTCGTCTCCAGAAGATCGAAAAACGTTTACACGCTTTCGTGGCACTCCAGTCTCTACCTAAATTTTTTCGAAACTTATCTTAGTTTCAAAAGTAAGTCCTACCTCTGCTCTTACTATGGAAATCATTTTTGTTATTAATTATAGTTCTTCCAAGGAGTCTCGTCATCTAAGCCGTTAAACATAATTTCGAGGCTGTACACTTTCAGGAAAAGGTGTTTCTTGGAATTCTTTTTTCACCTTAGCTTCATCTACTGTTAGTCTCAGTGTGCGCATATATTCACAACTTCCAGCTGTCGTTTTTCTCCTTCGCCAGACCAGCGAAAACCGTCCGTACGTTTCCGTACCTCACCAGAGTCTGGGTAAAATTTTCCAACTTTTCTTTCATTTCAAAAGAGAGTCACACCTCTGTTCTTACTGTGCCAGCCATTCTCCTTGCACACACACGCTCTTTCGAGGATCATGGCCATCGAAGTCGTTAAAAATGGTTTTGAGGCTGTATACTTTCAGAAAAAAGATGTTTCTTGGAATTCCTTTGTCATTTTGGTTTCGCCTTACCATAGTCTCACTACGAATATATTGAGAACTGCAAACATTCGTTTTTGTCCTTTCAAAGAACTAAGAAAAACGCTGTAAACCTTTCGCCCTTGCCAAGTTCAGTCTAACATTATTTGAAATTTTCTTCCATCCTAAAAGTGAGTCCAACTTCTGTTCTCACTATGTAAACTATTCTGGTTGCAAACTCAATTTCTTTTTAGGAGGCTGAACATCAAAGACGTCGAAGGTGGGAACTTCAGAGAAAGATGCTTTTTGCAGTTCTTCCAGTTAAATAGCACAAACTCGTGTCAGCACTACTTTGAATGACGTCCGAAATGCAAACGTTCGTTTTTCTCTCTGCAACGGAGATTACAAGACGTGCAGAACCAGTTTCATAGGCAATGCATCTAAGCTTAACTCTACACTCTTCAAAGCTTTGTCTGGAGCGGTAACTCGTTTTCTTTTTCTCACTTTATAAGCCATTATTAACCAAACTACCGTTTTCCTTGCAGAGGTACATTTTCGAAGATAAACAATCATACATTCTATCGGTCTAATGTCATTGCTGACCTGAGCTTAGCTCTCGTGCAAGCCAGAACTGGGCAAAAATAGGCCGAATTCAACTCAACTCAAGATGGCGGAACTTGAGTTGAGTTGAGTTGAGTTGCCCAGCTCTAGCGCAAGCAAGCTTGCGTCCAGATACAATTGTGAGAGCTGATCACAACCCGCGCTGTCTTTTTTTTTTCGAAGCTTTATCGAGGGGAGAGTGCGATGCTTCGCTGCTCTCTTTCCCTTTTTTTATAGAACGGGAAAATGTTCCCGCGAAATAGGAGAGCTGTTAACTTACTTTTTTAAACATAATGATGAATATCAAAGAGAAGTTTTAGTAGTACGACAATAGAGTGTGCGTTTCAATTTTTTATTTTTTTTACACTGTTTTACACCATTTTGCATTAACGTATGAATAAACGGGAAATAATTAGGGAAACAAAATGAAAACGGACCTTCGGCAATTAGTGATGCCTATAGGGTATTCAATAATTAAGAAGTCCTAACGATCAAAACTTTTCCCAGAGACATTGAGTGCCTACTTTCTACCTTAAAAGACCTTGTGTAACATATAATCACAGATGAATTTTGCTTGAGAAGACCCTATCGAAAGAAATAAGATGTCGATCGTGTTGTCATGTTGAAACTACTGTATTCCGTCCTAAAACTTTGTGCGTGTTGGTTGCTGCGCTTGCTTCACATTTCTCCTCTCAATAACACAGGGTAAGATTTAAGTTACTCTGCTAGAAAAGACTTATTCTTCAATGGTTTAGATATTAGCAGAAAATCAAAGGAGTGACGCATTTAGGCTAAAACTGTCCACATTTAGTTTCCCTAAAGCTAAAATAGAACCGAGATCAGAACAAACAGTGAAAAAAATGGCTTAGATAAGTTAGGTTTTTTGAAAAATTTCAATCAAACATCATCCGCTACAACATCGAAGAAACCATCATTCGTTCTTTATCGATTCAAACATACATTTCTGAACGATGCGGACTTTACTGGTGATTGACTGGGGGGGATGACGTTCGTATTGCCTCAAAATTACAAAACTTTGGTGAAAGTGAAGAAAAACGATGGTTGATAGTACTGTTAATTCGCCGAAAAAAGGCTCACAAGTCTTCTCAATATAACAAACGACAAGAAACCGCTTTGGCGTTCGGCTTTGAACCACTGGTGATTTTGATCGACGACGTCGACGACTAATACCACTCCTACAATGCCGCCGAAAATCTATTTGTTAAAATCTACTTCTTTCTCCTATTTAAACTGAAAAACTAAGCGTAAAAAACATCGTTGAAAACCAAGGCTATCTCTACAAATCATCTATGTTTGCTTCTCCTTCTAGCTTTTCGAATTGGACTTATTTCTGTTATTTTGTTGTTAAACTCGACAATACTAACACTTCTACCCGGAGTGCGATTGCCGACTTGAGGTTTCTCGCCTAGATTTCGAACGAGTAGGATTGATTTTATTCTTTGCTTTCTTCCCGACGAAGTTCTCTTTGAGTGCTGGGCCGATTTTTCTTTTGTCTTAGAACCGGTACTTCCTCCAGTAGGTCTTGTCAGGGAGATTGATGTGAAATAATTGTCAGTACCACTTTTACGCGATGACCGAGGATCTGCCAGTTTTGATCCCTGCGGCTGTTCTTGTGCTTTTACTTTCACTTCTTCTTCCGTTGCCTTCTTTTTCTTCCCTTGACCAGATTTTCGTGGTTTACGTGTTTTTTTAACTACTTTTCCTACTTTGCCAGTACTGCCACGCTTCGATTTACGTTTCGCTCGAGGTTTGCCTTTCTTTCCTTTGCCCGTGTCGCCAACGTCGGCTTTTAACACAGATTCAACTTTCTTATCGCTAGCCGCCATAATTCTTTTACTTTAAATAATGGTCATCATTGTAATACAACTCGCATCAAAGCGAGGAAGGAAGTGTAAAATTACAACACAGCACAAAAAAAATACTATTACTTCTTTAGGGAAATTGAGCCCAAGCGCGGGTTTAGGAATTTTTTCTAGAAATTTTGTTGTCTATAAGAGTACTAAACCGCAGTGAAATTAAAATAGAAAATCCGAACGCAATTAGCTATTACTGCAAAGATCGATTTCGCTAATTTTTTTTTAGAATACTATTGCAATATCTAGTAGAGTAAGGGAGGGGACAAATGGTTGTGGCAAATGCACAGAAGGATGCTTGCACCGACCCATGACACGACATTTGCGCTACCGACACTTCCGCTACTTGACAACTGTGTGCGATTACTATGTGCGGACAGGGTGCAACTGCCGTGTGGCCGATCTGTGAGGAGTTAGGAGAAATGTTGATGAACCACCTGAAATGTGAGCTGTGAAAGTTCAAGGTTCTTCGAGTTTTGAAGCTCAGCACTTGTTATCGGAATTCGTGTGAGAATTTTCATAAAAATTTGAAGACAGAGAACAACGTCTGCTGTATTTATAAAACAAGTCAAGTTGGCGAGAGACATCTTACTCTGAACTTCAAAATAACCGAAAACGTTATGAATTAAGTCAGAGTGTTACTTGATACTACACTCGGAAGGCGATTTACGAGATCATCAAGTTTTCAAATTAATACGACTAATAGATGCTACAGTCGGTAACAAAATTATTCATACGATCTCGATGAGTGACTTTGTTTTGACAATATCTCGGTACCCATAATCGCTAACGAGATCGGGTTTTCGTTAAAAGAATCATGAGATTATAAGCTACAAA